TGACAAATAGTACATATTTTTTTTTTTGGAGGGGGTGGTGGTCCTCACATTATTTCTCTAAAAGTTATAAATTTATTATAAAAAATTTATTCTACCAAAATCGTCACTGTATCTTGCTACAAATCCAAGTGGCCTTACTAATGTATTAAAGGGGAGATGTTCGTCTTTAATTGTAAAACCCTCACAATCTATTATAACACCCGTATTAAAAATCATAATATAAAAATTATACATTGCTTCTTCATTTAATTATATACTCACCATTTTTAACATTTGAAGGAAGATCAGCATTTAAACAAACTGTATGAATCTAAAATTTTACCCTTTTTTTTTTAAAAAATATTAATAAAATGTAAGTATATTTTTCGTATATATCTATAACTCATTTTAAGTCTGGATGTCTAAGAATGGAAACTTTAAGTAGAAAACTCTGCAGTTAGTGAGAATTATATAGGTAACTTCAAGGTTACCTATATAACCTTGAAGTTTTTTACATTGGCGTCAAATGTGCATTTGTGGAAGATATTTATGAATTTGTCGTCATCCTAGAAGGTATTGACAAGCTCTGTTGAGCTGAGAGCGTTTGACTGTCATATGTAGTCTCTAAGCTTTGATATATCGTGCTTGTTTTCACTCTGTTCAAGATGTCTCTGGTTTCTATTATTTGGTGCTCTCTCAATGTCGTCAGGGGTGACTTACTTTCTTTCAAAAGTATTAGAGGGCTGTCCTTTCACATAGGACTTAGCCCTAAGTTGTGAAGTGAATGGAGTAGAAAAGTTGTCAAGTAAGAAGTGGTGAAAATAGTAAGATAGGAAAGATAGTTTGAAAGGAAGGATGTATGAGCTCATGAACGCCTGCCTCGGCATTTATTAAAAACTAAAAAAACAGTTTACAATACAAAGAAATATAAACATGGAATTATGTATGATTGGTACCCGTGAATACATGTCAGGGGTGACTGACCGCTGGAGTTCTTGAAAAGCGTCGGTTTTATAGTTAGCGAACATTTCAGTTCTTAGGGGATTCAAAGGTATGTCGAGAATGCAGCTGGATTGTGGCACTATTGAGATTTAAACCAAGTGCATCGTCGGCGAGCATCGTTCCAAATGCGGTCATTATCAAATCTAGATCCTTCCATTTCTGTGAGTCCATGATAATGGAGTTTGTTGTATTCGCATTTGTCAGGTGATTCTTTAAATAGGTTGTGTTTGAATAGGATACAGTTTCTCTGTCTGGCCAGGTCGAGAAACCAGGAATTTTCCATGTAGGACTCTCCATTTTTAAAACCTAGAAGAAAGTAAAGAAATGGAATCTTATTCTAAGTTCTAGTCTATTAATTTCAATATGCAGAGCATACTTACTGAACACTAGACGGCAGTAGCTTGGTCTCTTGTCCATGAATTCCTCTGGTGGAGTGAGGCTGTAATCTTATTGTCGTCTATTTATAGGGCAAACCATATCTAATCTATAACGAATAGGAATAAAGTAAAATTATCAATCTCTCTGAGAGTTTTTTTATTTGCAAAGTAAATGATACTCCCTGTTCACATGAAATAGATAAGAAACTTGAGTGTAATAGGCATCCTCCTTCCCTTTTACCCTTCATTTTTTCCTTTCCAATATGGAAAGCTTGCAGTGATTGGACTTCTTTTATCCTATATACCCTCCTCCTCCTGCGGCACGGTCGGCCACCCGGGCCGAAACTTGTCTATCTCCTTATCTAGTATCAGATAAGAGAGAGATAATATCCTATATTCTATAGTATACTACAGGTTATTTGATACTACTGGTTTAGTTTTTTCTCACCTAGGGAGGAGTCTGTGAATTCCCAGAAGTTTCCGCTTCCTCCACATGCTCTTGTCCCTATCCTTGAGTTACTTTCAGCATTCCCATGTAATCCTTGTATTCACGTTGCTATGCAACGTGAAAGGGAACACGGGAGGAATGCGATGAGAGGCGGTGTTCTGGAATACCTTTTATTATTTACTCAGACAGATTTTCCTGTATATAAATTACCTTGTTGTTCAGATAACCTCCCTCATATAAATTAAATTTAAAATATTTAAAAGGGATAAATTTTTATGATATTTTGCCTCTTGAAATTTTCAACAATGCCTGTTTAACTTTTACTTCTTCGACAGCTTGCGAGTAGATCGTTTTTGTAACTGAAAAGCTTTTTTTCACTTCTTTCTCCAGCTCGCAGGGTAGCTCCACATTTTGTGCGATAACAATTAATTTTGAATATTGAGTTTTTGACTATATTAAAGGCATGTTGGAAAGTATCCCTATTAACCTCACGTTCATTTATAATATCCATTATACTCTATTTCATTTAAAATAATTTTAAGAGTTGAAATTTAAAATAAAAACTATTATTTAAAATACTCACCATCAGGCTATTTGTAAAGTCATTTTTGAAAAAAAAAACTCCATGATTAGTGTTGGGTATTCATACATGTTACTCCAAGATTACAATATTAACTTTTGTTTCCCCTGGGCAAATTTAAGAAATTAGGTCACCCTCCTTGTTAGATTAATTTGAAAAATGAGACCTCTTTGCTACGTCAAATTATATTTTAAAATTCTTTGTCAATTAAGTTTTACCTTCATTAGGTCATCTTCTAATTTGCGTAAAGTTGTGTTTTTTAATTGTTGATATTTTAAAATTTTTTATATATCAAACCTATGCATGAAGATAACAATAAAATCATCCAAGAGAGTGAAATTCTGCAACTTTATTCCAATCAAGATGGTCTTAAAAATTGGTTAGGAATTGTTTATCTAATTGTTGGTATTGGCAAATTAAATCCCATTTTGCATAATGAATATGTTGTATGATAAACAAGATGGTGAATTTGTAATTTTTCCATATGTATTCCCAATTTAACTTTTCCGTGAATCCCGAAATAAACGTGCTAGATAAATTGTGTCATTGACTGATGATATCCCAATCAACATAATTTTTAAAATGACAAATAGTACATACTTCTAAGGGTGAAGACCAGAAAGTTTCCCAGTTTATGGGGGGTTGTGAATTGCCTAAAAAGAAAGAAAAATTCATTTATAATATTTGTTTATTAGAATAGATTTAAAATTGAATACAAAATAATAGTTAAGTACAGTACAAGTTAATATTTGTTAGTCTCCAAAACCTTTTTGAGAAAACAGAATTTTGCTACATTTTTCAAAGCCTTTTTCATTTCTTTCTGTGATGTCTAATGAATTTCTTTCTAAAAAAGTTGGATGCATAATTTTTTCAAAAATTAATCGCATGATGGCTGTTCCAGGTTCAAAAATAATAATTTCTGGTCCAAAATTTAAATTATTTGCTGCTTTATTATTGAGTACATAATACTTGGATTACATATTATTAAATTGAGTATCTTAAAAAATAAGGATTATTTGAGTACATTAATTAAGTAAAAAATAATTGAGTACATTATTTTTTTGAGAAAAAAGTTAATTTTCCCCACAATCTCCAAAATCTTCTTTTTCAGATAAAATAATTTCGTTACAATCTATCTTTTGAGATAGATCAATGCAGTTAAAATCATCATCATCTTCTTTTTCATGAGTATCTTTGTCACAGTTAAAATCATCATCTTTTTTTTTCATGAGATAAGGTAATTTCATCATCATTTTCTTTTTCAGAAATGTTGTCACAGTCCCCAAAATCTTTATTTTGGGAAAAAGCAATTTTGCTATATTCCCCAAATCCTTTCTTGTTTCTGTCAGTGGCGTTTAATGAATCTGTTTTTTCAATAAAACTTGGATGCATTATTAGTTCGAAAATTATTTGGGCAATGTCTGATCCAGGTTTGAACATAATAATTTCTGATCCAAAATTATACATTACGACTCCAATATTTCCACGATAGTCGAAGTCAATAACTCCTGCATTGATCATAATATTGTTTAAAGATAAAGAAGATTTTGGAGCTATTCTAGCATAACAGTTAATTGGGATTTCCAATGCTATATCTGTGAAAATTACTTTTTGTTCATCGGGCTTTATTTGAAAGCCTTTCACACAAAATATATCCAGCTGCTCCCAAAGAAGCCTTTTTTGGACATACTACAGTTTCCGATAGTTTTTTAAAATAAACAAATTCTAGAAAATATAAAATATTTAATTATTATTACATTTCATACAATCACATTTTATAAAATATTTATTAAATATAGGCATTATTATTTTATTTTTTATTACGAAAAATTTACATTCATATAGTTTATTATTTAGCAATTTTAATAATGCTGCTTCCCTATACGTTTGTTTTAAACACGAATAAGTTCTACTACAAATGCTATGTATTACATAAGTAGTTTTCCTTTTGTATACTATTAAAAAACCATATTGTGATGATGCTGATGATATCAGAATATTTGCAAGAATTAAAAGTAGAAATTGTCGTGGCCGAATGATACCACATCTATTCCATTATCTAAAATGAATTGTTTATCGTAAAATGGGGAAAAAGAAATTTTATTTTGTAGATATGTTGTTATTACGTGATTACTTTTAATTCCGTATTGCTGATGTCTTTATTTAATCTTTAAATTTATAAAACGAAATTCTAAAAATTGTTGTTGGAATAATATTGTTTCAGAGTTTATATTCTATGAATTGTGGATATTTCTGTTTTTATTTTCTATATAAAATGAATAGAAATTAATGTTTAAAAGAATTAAGTACAAGAGATAAATTTTATAATGACAAATTTGCAAAAAAATTGTTAAAAGTAATTTATATCTAGCATGCTCATGTGCTATAATGTTTAATCAATGCTGTAATTTGATGGTAAAAGTAGTAATAATTTTTAAAATTTTTTATTTTCAAATAAAATATATAACATACATTTTATATACATTTTCAATTTTTTTTAGCTGAAAAATAAACAAACAAACAATACCATGAAGGAAGAAAAATCATAGTGAATGACAACTCTCGTCGCTTCAAAAACCTGTTGTCCTGGGGTAGGTCAAAGAGGCTGCTCTTGTTTACCCCTTGAGGTCTCTCCATCTTCAGCATGATCTTGTCTCTTCCAATCTGGAGAAAATCAAATTCGTGCAGTAATATAATGAAATAGGAATGATATTTTAGCCAACACAACATATTCTCTCCTCTCTTCACGAACATGATGTAGAAGCTCCATCACCCGATGTAGAACGTGTTCTCGTCTGTTAATAATTTTCCATCTGTTGATGCATTGCTATGCTAAAGCGAATGCGTGGTGGGGAGGTGAAGGCAATGTGACGTTATAGCGAATGTGCGGTGGAGGATGCAACGGTGAGAAAAACCACAATCAACACATATTAATATTTGCAGTATGCTCAGCCAGTGGAAGGTGGCATGGACACGTATGATTAACCATATGCAGCTGCGGTGGAGCTGGTGGTTGATAATTGGAGTCATTTCTCTTTCCTCGATCTACAGCAAACATACTGGCACTATCCACCTTTGATCTTAGTTCATTTGGGGGACACACATTCTGAGGGATAACAATTAGTTCAGAATATCCCTTATTCCAAACCCTGTTAAGAGCATTCTGTAGACTATTTTTATTTACTTCTTTAACCTGACTTCTTAACATTTCAGTCTAAAAAAAATACTCGCAATGAATTTAAAATCTAATTTATATAAAACATATTATTAAAATAATTTTAATACTCACCATCATGACTTTGAAAGTTAATATTGAAAATTCAGGTGATTCGGTCCAATATTTATATGAAATTTTAAGGAAAATATTTTTTATAAGGTTTTACTTCGTGACACATTATTGCGGTAGTAGTAGTGGTATGACACACACTAATTACAAAATTAATTTATATACATAATTTTTAAAATACGGAAGTAGTATAGTTTTGATACACTTGGATTAGAAATTTCTATGGCAAAATATAATGTACGATACAAGATAGATTAGACACACAATTTTTTGGAATAATGTTTGATACAATATTTAATTAATCAAGAGTTATTTTTGTGCAAGAATGTGTTGCTATTATTTATGTAGAAATTACTGAGTTGCTGATATTTTAAACAATGTAACACCAAGAAAGATGATTATGAAAATTTTTAGAAAAATAATTGATATCTTGAAATTAATTCTCAATCCAATAAATCTTGTAAGTCAATTAAAGTATCTGTAGTTTAATGTTGATATTTTAAATCTAATTTTTGTATGTTATTTTTAGTGAATTGCTAATTTAATGATTGATACTGAGAAATTAAATTTCATTCTTTCAATAAATGAAATTGGAAATTTATAATTTTTCCATATATAATTCCAATTTAATTTATCAGCAAAGTCATAAATAAATTATTGACTTAAATAATAAAAATTGTTTTTATCTACTGGTAAAGAATATTTTTCCCAAACAATTGACATGGTGGTGTTTGTAAGTCTAAAAAAAAACAACCAGTTACATATTTTGTAATTGAATATAAAACAATTCTTTATTTGATTACAAAATTGGTTTACATTTTTTTATTCAAATACAAATTCATCACAATATATTTTAACTATACAGTTTTATAACGTTAAATCAGGAGGAGTAGATGTTAACATATATTGATGTTTTAAACATTACCACAACAAAGAATTTCATCGTTACAATAACGGTTATTCTTTTTGTCATTGTCGTCATAATTTTTATTACATTCATCATCACTAATTTCAATAATCTCAACATTGTTATCGTTTTCACATTCATCATCACTAATTTCAGTTATATTTTCTACATAACTTTCTTCTACGATATTATTTCTATGAACGTTTTTTGTACATTCGTTCAGAGTTTTTAAAAAAGATTTTTCCAATATCATTGGACAGTAGGTTTTTTCAAAAATAATTTGAGCTATTACATCCCCTTCTTTTATTATGAAGTCATCATCTCCAAAGTTATTTATTAATATTCCGATATTCTCTCTGTAATCAGAATCAATAACACTTGCATTGATTAATATATTATGTTATAAAAGCAATAATGATTTTCATACTATCTTCCATAACAATTGTTCAAAATTTGTATAGCTATATTGATGAATATTAATTTTTGTTGTTTACTTTTAATGATATAATTATCGGTACTAAATAAATCATATCCCACACCATATTTTTTAGGTAATTTTGCTTTTTCAGAAAGATATTTAAAATATACAATTTCTGTAATAAAAAAAANAATGAAATATATTTACCGGAAAATTCAGAATATTTACAGTGTTTGTTCATATAAACTTTATACGAAAAGACATCGCACAAGTAACAGTGTGTGGTAAAATTAGTGTGGTCGCAACATGCTTCTCCCATCATTGTTTCATCCTCCGGAAGGTATAGATGCTTGAAGGCTTTTTGATGTAATAAACATGGTCTTGTACCCATTCTTTGATTTCGGCCGTGGGCACTTATGAGGGTAAATTTTTGTATGATATGGACATGGCATCCGAATATCTGATGATTTCGGGACTCCCCAGTCTCCTATGTCTATATACAGAATGTCTACAGTAAACAAGTCTGATGTTAAATTTAAAAAGTTCTTTTCTATGTCCCCTTCCTCATAAAAAATAACTTGAAATTTTGTTAAAATTATATAAGGAATTTAAAAAGCCTTATCAGGCTTTTTAAATTTTGGTACATGTAAGCAAAATTATCATTTTGCTTACATGTACCAAAATTATGTTTATCATAAGAAAGATATTGTCCATGAAATCTATTTCCAAAATGAACGGATTCTTGATCTCTAACTTAGTGTGGGGTTTGGGGGCCATAAAAGGTTTATTAAACACTTTTTAGGTAGAGTCCTGCCACTGGGTGTGTTTTATCAGACACACCACCGTTTGTGATAAAATGGATGATTAAGGTGCGAGGGTAAGAGTCACTCTGAAGTTCAGGAATGAGCCTCTCAGGAGGAAGAATGCAGAGTCAGATATAAGCAATTTGAGGACATTTATTAACATAAACGAAAGTTGAGAACATAGTTATACAGCCTGAATTTGGAAATTTGCCTATTTTTATCTATACAACGAGGGGATG